GCTACTGCTCAAATCTCTCTTAACATAGATCAGAAACAACTATCTTACTAGATTCATTTTTTGATCTATGAGAAGGAAAATCAATTGACAAGAACACTTGAGAAGCAAGTTGCAATTCTCTAAGAATGACCACAACTGTGAATCATCAATGTATTCAACCAAAATTCAGATTTACAGAACAACAGTCCAAGTAAAATGAATTAGATTTACAAATGAACAGAGAATCCTCTATTCAACTGAACTAAAGGACACAACTCACATCTGAATGTTCAATCAGATCTAAATTCCAAGAAACATAAATCTAATCACTCAACCTTCATTCTAATCACAATTGTTCAACTGAAACAAATGACTCTTAGAATAGAAAGTGGAAATTAGATCTGAAATGACTCCCTGTTCAGTTCCATGAACTCAGGTCAGCTTCATTGCTAGAAGAACTTAGAAATTCAGCTACTCATACTCCGGATTAGGGTAGAAACAGCTAGAATTGATGAAAGATCCATAGTTGATCGGTAGCAATTGATGAATTTGGACGAAAATGGAAGGAAGAAGTGAGAGAGGGTGGAGAGAGCAAGAAAATCACGTCTGGAGGGAGAATGGGCAACTGAAAATCTGGTCTCCGGCTGAAGCGCGCGACTCTGCTTTTAAATCTGGAAATTTCAGTCATCCGCCGCGGCGCCTTCGTCAATCTGCCGCGGCGCCTCCGTCAATCCGTCGCGGCGCTTGTCCTGTACGGCGTCATTTTGATTAATGATCCTGAGCTTCATGAAAACCTCCGTCCGCCGTGGCACCTTAGTCCATCCGCTGCGACGCTTTTCACCGAGAGTACCATTGGAAATCTGCCGCGGCGCCTTCCCAAATCAGCCGTGGCACCTCAGACAGAATGGCGAAAATGCTACTGAGACTTCCTGAAATTCATACCAAAGCATGGATCAAAAGTACACACATATAAAATCATATAAAAACATGTAAAAACACTTGCAAAACCTCACAATTCCTCTCACCAACTCTTATGCACAATGGAAGCTAATTATGCCCAAAGTATGCAAATATAGATGGCAAAAGCATGAGTTTAGGGCTAGAAATATATGCAAATAATGAGACTTATCAACTCCTAAATATAAGTCACTTATAGGGTAATTAATAAGTTTTTCCAATTTTATGCCTGTTGACTTAATAAATTCAAAGAAAGATAAAATAAATAAGTGGGAAAAATATAATTGGTAAGGGAAGTTTTAATCAAGGAATGATCAGGAAAAAATATTGGTATTAGTTATGGTGAAATTTAAAATAACAATTAGTAAGTATTACTAAATTCTTCAACTATCAGAAGGTAGTTAGTATATATTAACTAATCTTATAATATTAGTGGATATATAGTTAATTTTTTTAAAAAAAATCTTATCATATTAGAGGATAAATAAATCATAGAAAATCCCTCCATATCAAGATATATCTAGTTTTTTTTTTTAAGAAAATCTTATTTGAATTTCAAATTTACAATAATAATAATAAAGTTATAATTAAATATACTTTTCACAATCCTATTCTCCATCCATCACCCCTCACTTTTCTCGTTTGTGCCGCCGTATTGCTCTTTTCTTCTCTCACCTTTCGTTCTATTTTCCATCACGCTACCAACTTCATCTCTTAAATATAATTTTGCTCCTTCTCTCAGTGTAAGATTTCTCTTGCATCTATTTCTATTATCCTTTGTGAGCCATGTTGCACCACCATTCATTGTGTTAAGGAAACCGTGAGAAATAATGGGTCAATGATGCTTATACAAGAATATTGCTTATAGGTGATGCTTGTGCAAACGCTTCAGCTGGTCTTGAGTTATAGAGTGGTTAGAAAGGGACTCTACAATTGATCCCAGCAGGTAAGTTTACACATAGCAAGGGGGCAGTTTTGTTCTTACTGCTAGTGTTTTCCTAAATCATCATGTTTGATTTTTTTTCCAGCCTATTACTTGGGAAGTAATTCCAAACTATATTTTTTTCCCTCTCTCTTCTATGTTTCTCTTGTTGTATGAGGAATTGAGTTGAATAAAATTTCGATTAAAATGTTTGGATTAACTATGCCTTCATAATTTCATATTATTAGATATAACATATAAGTAATTTTATTTCTTCTCTATATAAAAATTAATAAAATTTTCACATATTATACCTATATTTGTTCATATAGAGTTATTTATTTTGGGACGGTTATTTCTCACCATAGGCTATATACAGCATGATATATTGAATATTGTTATTATATAGGTAGGACAGTTATTCCTCACCATAGATTATGACGGTGTTAAGATAAACTAAAAGCTGTAGTTGAATGCCTTGTGATTGTTGACCACTGTGGCTGGTTGGTTTTGATTTTATCTATTTAATTCTCCTGCTTGGAATTTCATTTGCGAAAAACTCTTGTATGCCATTGTTTCCCCTGCTAACTTTTTTATTTGTGCCTCACTGAGTCAATGGTAGACTCACCCTTCTTTTATATTACTTTACAGATTAACGTGCAGTTGAATAGACCATTCTGGTATTGCGCTTTGTGGGCATTCTTTAGGTAGGATAAGATAGAATAAAGGCATCATAGTATCTCGTGGTTTCGTGACTAATGTGGAGGAGCTAGTGTCCCAGTGCCTCATCGACTTAAATTTTTGTTGAACATTGATTTCTTTTTCTTTGTTTTGAATGACACTTGCCTATTATTAGTTGTGTTCTTTGAGATTAGTGCCTTGCAATCGGTAAATGGTGGTCGCTTTTAAATAAATGAAGACTGATTTTCTTTGGGCCCATTTTAAAGGTTATGGGGTATGAAGGTGATTTTAATTTAGCCTAACTAGACTAAAGATAATTGTATTAGCTTAGTCTATGTGTCACATCCCAAAAAATTTTATCTAGATATAGGGAATTAAAAATTGGGATCAGGGCCAATGTAGAAACTAGACGAGGAGACAAAACAACTTTTGAGGTGAAACCTTGATAACGTTTGGGCTGGCATTCTCGTAATTATCAGTTTAGAAACGGCAAAGTGGGAAATTTTGAGAAAAATTCTAGAAAATTCTGGAAAAATGGGAAAATTATAAATTAGAGGTTTTGGAAACTCGATTGAGATACGAAAGGTGGAATTATTGTGAAAATAAATTATTATGGAATTTCCCGTAAACAGAGGGTTTTTAGGAAATTATTGACAAATCAGAGGAAAATAATTATTTTAATTACTTAAAGGCTCAATAACTTTGGAAAAAATATGAAAAAATCATTTAAATATTTATTTGAATTTATAAAATTGGTTCTAGGCCTTAGAAGCTCAGGAATAAATTTTAGAGAATTTATTTTCGTACAGTGACACAGATAAAGGCCAAATCCAAGAAAATTCAAATAAATACCTAGAGGTGGCAAAAATTTTGAAAATTTTCAGATCATGTTCTTATATTAAAATATGAACTAGCATCATCTCCCCCGCGCATTACGCGGGACTAATTAACTTCAATTAAATAAATTCTCAAAACACATTAGAATCTCTATCACTCAACTCTTAACTGAAGACCATTACAACCAATGCTTAGAGAATGACACTCAAACAAATCATTCCAAATTTCTCGGCAAAAACATATGAATCCAAGTTTGCCAATTGAAGAACCGGTTTCCTCCCTTTCATCAAACCTGATACAAACTTCAACTCATAAATAGTAGCCACAAAAAGAATTATATTTCATTTAACACTTCCCATTCACTCAAACCATAATAAATAACCCAAGACGTAATATCATTGTATTACAGTATTCATCAATAGCAATTGCCAAGTTAAACAACATTATTAGTTTTAAAAAAAATCATCAATCCTTCTTTCCCTAGAAGAAGCAACTAAGACATAACCTGGCAACAAAATGAATTCTACCAAAGTGCATAATGTGAAATAGTCACTACCGGACATTTTTATGACAGCAATGCATGAACACAAAGTAGCTAGTTGACAAAGAGATGCTGGTAGTGGCTACAATAACAATGAAAAACAGAGTTCAATCATGGACGGTACATGTAAGGAGACAGCTAAAGCATGTACAATAAAAATATACCGTTTACAAATGATGATGAATTCAGCATGAATATGAACCACAAATAAGATTGCCACCTCAGTTAATTTTAAATCTGCATGCTTGGATCCACATTTCGAAAAACCTCCCTGAAGACTACATTCGTAGTGAAGTTACTCGCACTAGAAACATCATTGTGTACAAGAATCTTCAGACCACCCATGCTCCTAACCCTGGATAGGGCAACGTATAACTGACCATGTGAGAATACAGGTTTCGGTAGATATAATCCCACATAATGTAACAATTGCCCTTGACTCTTATTTATTGTCATTGCAAATGACAAAGTGATTAGGAACTGTCTCCTTGTCATTCGAAAAGGCAAATGACTTTCAGAGGGATTCATGTCCATGCGATGGATCAACACTTTCGGGTTGGGTTTAGAACCATTCAATGTTACTGCTTCAATGACAGTCTTGCCAAGTTTTGTTACACGCAACCTAGTTCCATTACACAGCCCTGATGCTTGGTCAATGTTTCTAAGCAGCATCACTGGTGTTCCTACTTTCAAGGACAATTTATGCAATGCCATGCCAGAACTATTGATAGTGTTTAAGAAGTCAATCGTGTACAAATCTTCAAAGCAATCATTATCGTTGAATGATTTGCAAACAGAATCACAACTTAAGTACTCAACATGTTCGCCAGGCAAAAGAGAACACATATAATCATTTACTTGGTTTACAACCTCAATTGTGGGTGCAAGGATAGCCCTGTCATTGAAATAATCAAAACTTGATAAATTCTGCAAAAGATCAGGGTAAGTGGCAGATACAATGGCACTAACAGGATCATCATAATTAGTGATTAAAAGATCATCAGGGATTTCAATTTCAGCTATGCCATCGTGAGGCATACCAAGATTACCATCTCCCATATCTAAAAGCCACTTTGAGAAATTTTATAGGTCCTTTTGTTCTTCGATGGAAGAAACAAATGATAAGCGCATGTTTTTCGTCAACGTAAAAATGGTGCAATAGTCCCAAAGATATGAAGAAGTCACGCATGCATTTACTATGTCAGCTTTGGAACCTTTAGGTATGACAGGGAGTATTTGACAGAAGTCACCACCCATCACAATTGACTTCCCACCGAATGGGAAATTAGCATGCATAATATCTCTCAATGTACGATCAAATGCTTCGATGCAATAACGTTGCACCATGGGAGCCTCATCCCATATAATTAACTTTGTCGGTACAATCAAATTAGCTAAGGCAGAATTTTGTGTGATATTGCAAATAGAGTCTTCATTAACTTGTATAGGGATCGCAAACCTGGAATGTACTGTCCTTCCAAATGGTAATAATGTGGCAGCGATGCCACTAGAGGAAACAATAATAACAATATCGCCTCTAGCTCGAAGAGTAGAGGCCAAAGCATTCCACAGAAATGTCTTCCCTGTTCCGCTATAACCATAGACAAAGAAGAATGAACCAACATTTGAATTCAAAGAGGATATGATAGAGTCAAAAATATGTTTCTGCTCTGAATTTAATGAGTTGATCAAAGTGTTCAATTCTTCTTTCATGGATGTTCGGTCATAACCAAGCTCTTGCAAAATGAGATGATTGCTGAGATCAAGTGGACTAAATGATGCTGGTTTTGGAAGCAGAGGAAAGTCATTCAAGGTCTTCCCATTCTCTTGCAACAATGATTCAATTTCTTTCAAGGCAGCTTCTTCCTTCTCACTTATAGATATATGTACCCCTACATAAATATCACTAAAGTGATAAGTAAGAATGTGTAAATTGAAAGAAAGGACAATTAGTACAAACAAATCATTGATGCCTACAAATTTTATGAAAATATGGCAAGTATTGTTGAGATGAATATAGGTCTTACTTGATGATAAAGGATCTCTGTGTGGTATGTATAATAAGTCTTCAGACAATATTTTTGAAGTTTGTTTCCAAACAAAATCAGGACGGCTTAGTGACGAGCAAAGAAGCATGCTAACAAACATCTTTCGTAATGATCTCCCAGATGCCCAAACTGACGCCTCCTTAATGGCATTTATGTATTCACTATCATCGTGTAATAATCCAAGAGCAAAGCACGTAGCTCTAAAAGTGGAATGCATAACACCATCCACTGTTCTAATCTCTTCAAATGATGAAGGACCTCTAACCTTAGTTAAGAGGATTCGTAGATAGTAAAGTTCACCAGATGAAGGAGACACATGAGTAATCCTTCCTATGGCAAATCCCTTCTCTCTAATTTTCCAACATCATTTGCTTCTTTGGTAGACAAAACATTGTGGAAACTCAGAATAAGTAAGAGTTTTAGCCAAATCATTATCATGATTCATTTTCATCCAAGCAAGGAACATTGACTCACAGACACGGCGCTTATTAAGTAGGTCCTCAATATCATCAGCATTAGAATAAACAACACATTGTTGGTTAGGTAAATGGAAGCTTAACCTTTCAACAACCGGATACCTGTGGTGTATATCAAAGGCAAATATGTGCCAAGCTGCCTCATAAGCTAAGATATACCTAAAGTTGTAATACTATTGAATCTCATCAATCGGCTGGCCTGAAGATCCGTCCCCAGCGCTCTCATAAATAGATGCTACAACTCTATCATTTCCCTTACTAATATACTTGAATAAGTACTTGATTGCAGATGACTGGTTAGACTTCTCAACATTAATATGAGCTTCAAACATTGATAACAATGTGGGGTTATAAGGCACAATAAACTGGTTATCTAGAGGAATGCCTTTGACTTCAATTGTCCTCCCATCATCTCTCCTCCTCTATGTAGGATATCCATCATCATCAACAATAGTCTGTTCCACAAAGTTCTTGGGGAAATACTTGCTGCACTTATTATCCTTCATGCAAGGGGACTTAGGGTTTGAATGACCACATGGGCCATGTATCATGAACCTCTTAACTAAGTCATACAACTGTGGTTCTTCATCCAAGTTAGGTATTTCTACAGAGATTACCCTATCCACATCCTCCAGATATTTAGGTTGATCACGTTGATCTAGGAACAACAAAATGTGTGCATGTGGAAGTCCTCTTTTTTGGAATTCAATCATATGAACGTCTACATGAATAATAAATGAGTAAGTAATAAGCAATAGATCATTAAATTATCTTTACATTATCATAAGAAGTGAACAAAAATTTGAATCACCTGCAACAACAGTACCAAATATCTTCTTCTTCTTGATTGTATCCATAAGAGCCTTCAGCTTTATATGGAAAACCCTACACAATATCTCCGGCCTGTTAGCACTAGATAATGATTCATTTTCCATCAATCGTGTGACCTCTTGCCAAGCTGGATTACATGTAAATGTAATGAAAATACTCGGGTAACCTGCCCATCTACAAATAGCCATTGCATCTTTATAGTTGCCAACCATATATCGTGCCTCTTCAATGAAGGAAGGTGGAAGAATTATACGCTTCCCTGTGGACGATGCACTTCTTTCTCCAGTTAATAGCGCATTTGTCAATCCTGATACAAATCTGCCCTAAGTTCCTTCTGGTGCGTTCTGACCCATAATAACCTTTGAGCTTCTATCATGGTATAACCATCAACTATGAATTGCTGGAATAACTTCTCTGCATGAAGTACGGTTGACATCTCATTTTCCCTCATCATCAACCTATATGCAAAATACTCTCTAATACTAACCCGCTTTTTCTTCTTAGTATTAGAAAGAGTCTCTTCACGGTGTTCTATATCGTCACGATAACCATCGTCACCTCTAGGAAACAATATTGGGTATTAGAGTGGAAGATAGGAAGGATGCAATTCATCAATACGCTGTGGCAAGCCTGACAATTTGTGAACTATAACATCCCTTCTGCTGAAATTCATACCAATGTCACCAACAATTAAAGCAGCAACCTCTGAAGTAGACGACAAATTATAATTCCGCCCATCCTTCCTTCTTGTATTGATCAAACAAATTTTCACATTAGTGTTTTGGTCATTCTTGATCATTGATGATGCTGCTCAATATTGTTTTACAAAAGGGTTGGCATCATCAAGGGTTTTCTTGATATGATCAACAATATTATTATCAATGGCTGATTCTTTCATATGCTTGCTGCATGAACAGATTGAATTATCTGTTAATATAACTAATGATACTAAAGAAAAAATGCAAATCAGCAAGAAGTAACCTTCTTAACCAAAAAATTACCTTACAGCAGATATACGATTGCATACTTCATTGTCAGTATCATCTATGTACAGTTGGGAGTAAACAGGCTTTGATCCTTTAGGAGGTAATAAACTTCCAATCCTATGGTAGTTAATGCCAGACAAAACAAATGAATAGGGACCATCACCAGAGTTCTTTGAGTAATCAATTTTACCACCCATAGAAGTAAAGGAGAACATATTGTTATAAGTTCTTATGTTTGTGAGGAAGTTTCTTGAAGATAGCCTTAGTAGTAAAAGAATGCATGAGATATAATCGTAGCAGAAAAAACTTATGAACTTGATAATGATTTACCAGGCCTAGTATAGTTCTGGAATTCAGTTTCCAAATTTGTTGCAACATTTGAAATGTCCTTAAGTGCAGGTCTTCTTGGTTTGCACCTATTCGATGGGTTTGTATTTGTTTGCAGAACATCATTTACCTGAGTGTACATCTCTGGTCTGCCATTAGCATTTCCCAAGTACACTGGACAATCTGTAATAGCACAATGATTCAATCATTCACTACAAATTTACAAAGGATGCCCAGTACATGAACATAACCACGAGACAGCATTTTGACCATACCTGCATTCCTTTTTGGAAAATTTGCGTATGTGCTCCCTGAATGATTTCTTGGTCTGGTGATTTGTCGTGGACTGTTCTCAAGAAAGGTAAAAGTCTCATGTGGAATGTATGAAGGTTTCCTCTTCATGTGTTTTGCAGTATTTAGATTTGCTATAGATATACTTTACTCTGCACTTTTAGTAATGGTTAACAGAGAAGACTTCATGCAATTCGTAATGAATCCCTACTATTTGTAGAGCAAATAAGTCTGCACCAGTGTAGGCTATATTGGCATTGATAAATGGATTCAGTCAAATCATTGCACTGCTCAATGTTTACAGCTGGAAAAAAAAGTAACCAGCAACTTTTGTGGGTTGAGCTATGACTTTAAGTAATAAATATTTAAGGAGCTGCATTAAGATAGTAACTTAAGGTCATTGATATGTTATCAATTCAGAGAATCATGGGCCCATTTCATATGAAGCATTGACTACATTTTAGCTAATTCTATGACCAACAAAAAAAAAAAGCTACAAATGAGCAAAAAAATACCCATCTGCAAGAAACACCTAATGCAACAAAATCCACACATGCAACTCTGCCAACCTCATCTGCATCTTTTATTCCTAAAGGTTTGGGCTTGAGAATGGCCAATTAAAAACAACCATTGGGCTTTATTCAGTTGTGGGAACAAAAAAAGGCATGTCAGGCCATGTAACACGGACAACCTCATTTTGGGGCAAAAATAATCTCAACCAAGATTAGAGGAATTGCAAGTGTTAAGTGGCGCAATTTTATACCAGTTACATGATATTACTGTTTATTGTTGGGGTTGTATTTATTCTAGGCCCATCTGAGTCAATTGTTCCACCAAAGACAGTAAATGTTAAACTCCAAGTGATGTTTGATATGTCATTATCGAATTTCAGTTTAACATATTAACAATAACAGTATGATGCTTTTGCTAATTTTGCATAAACACGTCCACAAAAATTGACTCAACATCATTCTTACTACCAACTACTGATAACAGGTATTTATTAAAGCCAGAATTGAAGCTTAAGCCTCAGCATCATTCCCAATTGAATTTTGTTTGAAATAGAACCATCAATATTAATACTTAAGATAGCCATGCCATTCAAATAACACAAATAACATACGTTTAGTCACCAGATCCATGAAGCCAAGTGACACACAAAAAGACATTGCATAAATTAAAAGACAATCAGCTATGTAGCCACATAGAAGATCCTACATTCCTAATGAAGAAACCAGAAACCAGCTGACATGGTCTCATAAGGACTAATCCAAAAGATGACAATGACAAGACATGGCAATAACACTAAAATTCTTCAGTTCTTCTCTTGCTTGATGCTCTTTAAAGGCTTGGACGATGTCTTGATAGGTGAGGCATTGGGTGAACGAACGCATTTCTCCTTAACTCCAATGATCCTCTTCCCAGCTACCTTCCTCTTTGGCCTGTAAGTTGAGGGGCCAGCTATCCTAGACAGAGGTATCTCCTCAATGCCGGGGCTGTCTTCATCATTCTCGTCGATGGCAACATTAGTAACTTCATTCAATACTAGGGGGTCAGCAGTGACAGATTCAGGAACGACTGTGTTAGTAGCCTATAAACATTGAGGAAACAAACAACACATTATCTCCAAATGTTAGGGAATTAAAACTTTAGCAACATGTTTATATCTAAGTACCTCTTCTTCAGCATGGGTGTTCTGATCGCTAACTTGTACATGGCAGGAACATTTTTTCCAAAAAAACTGTAAGTTGAAAACCAAACAAAGCCCTTAAATTGGAACTTCAATATAATAGTGTCTTGCCTTATTGAATTCATCCATCAAATCAGTGCACTGTGTGAATGATGCAACAGATATGCCAGAATTTGGGAAGTCAACGTTATACTTGTTCAGCTTAAGTTTCAAGAGCACCGTCTTTCCAACCATTAGGTCTAGCTCATCAGGAAAATCATATTCACGTTCCTCCTTAAGAAGCATAATACACATTTTTAATTTTTAAGTGACGCAAAGCCATGACTACACTATACATGATCAACAGAAATAATCCATTACCTTAATAAGAGTGTGATTCATCTCAAGTGCAGTCTTTTGGAAGAAATTAGAAGCAAGTTTGTCAAAGAAGACTACAGTTGCCTTGCCAGATGAATCCTCAACCGTGTAGTGGACCCTTAACCTATAAATAGTACTCATTATTAACCTTAATTAAGTGAAGCTCGCACCCATAAAAGATTTCTGAAGATGAGGTGAGTTAAAGTTGTACTTGGGTTCAAAAGTCACATGTCCTTTCTTGCAATTAATGCATGTTTTATTCCCACTCACACTCCTTGGTTTGCTGCCACACCTGGAGCAACCTTCATAGCACCAGCCATGCCTCGTGTCAACTTTGACTACTAAGCACTTTATGAGGAAGAACGAATCCTATCAAACATTTACAGTGATCAGACCAGTAATCTACCATATCATAGTTTAAGAAATTACTAAAAATAATGAAGTCTGAAAATACTTACAGCTGGCTGATTGCATATGTCTGCAACAAAAATCAAAGGATGGTTACAAAGCAGGCTAGTTGCAGACTGATCATTTGATTGTGTAGTAGCAGTATGAGAGATTGTGCTGATAGTAGGAGACGGTAATGTGGTAGCACTGCTCCAATGATACGGATCAATAATTAATAAGTTATGGTTTATGGGAATAAAATGACATATGAGAATGGTCAACATTGGTGTGGGACATGCCAATGCACTATACCTATCGATAAAATGCTTGACTTCTGGAAACTTTGGATTGCATGAAATCTGGGTGGCATGGTATGAGTTGCAAATCTCAGCCATACCTGAAGGAAAATGGCAAGTATAAAACATAACAGTTAGTGAGGACGAACTACACAAAAGAATATCCA